CCCCCGGACCCCGGCACCAGCAAATCCCACCCCCTCGCGACACACAACCCCCTTAAGCCGGGCCATGCCTTCCCTTTGCCGCTCATCGCACATGTACATGCGATATTTCCGAAACACACACGACCAACTGTCTTCGGCTCGATAGACTACCTTACAGAATCGATCACAAACAGGAAAGAAGAGAAGCGAGGAAAGGTCCGCGAGCAAGGTGTGATAACTTGACAGAAATTATTTTCACCTTTATTCGGAAACATCTTTTGAAGGGGAGGATATAATAGCGGAAACGAGTGGTTAGTAGAGAGGTGATACTATATAGAATTTTCTAAAATCAAGGGATAAAAAGAAAACATTTTCCTTGCTTTGCATTTTCCGCGAAAACGGTGCATGGCATTTGCGAAAAAACGCTAGACTTTTTTTCAAAAGTATAAGTGGCACAAGTACAAACAGGGGTCGTATTTTTCTCGTTCCCCAACCCACCACTTACTTCCTTCAGGAGCTCCTCAGGGCAAGTTGACAACTTAAACCCGACGTGGCAGTGCTTTTGCTCTGCCTGAGCAAATCGCGCAAAGCGTCGTGGGGTGTGGCGGGACGTGGCGGGGCGTGCTGGGGCCGCTGGGGCACCCTGAGTAGGCATTGGCATCGGAGGGGCGCGACGACGGGGGCGTGCGAATCGCTCGTCGCCGAGGCGCAGCAGGCCCCGGGAGGAGCAGCCCCTTTTGGAGACAGCCGCGCCTCGCCCCGCCCGACAGCCACCCACATGGGGAGGGAATGGGGGGTGAAAATCGCCGACCGAAGCAATTCTAGTGAGAAAAGTGCAGCCCTATGGTAGATCACTGGCCGACTCGAAACCAACCCCTTGCCGATGGGGCCTCACCCCTCAGGGGAAGGGAGAGTGCGGGGGTGGGAGGGGGGCGCATTGGGACCGTTCGCGGCTAGGCGAGGGGCGGAGATGCGAAAGGGGAACAGGGGGGGGGGGGATAGGCTGAAAGCAAGGGCGAGAGAGGAGTGGAGGGGCGCGAAGACGCTTCCAATGCATCTACATGAACGTTTCCGGCAGAATCTGACTGAGCAGCTCGGCTGCCTACCCCCTAGGGGCTCACGGTGACGCACGGGTCTAACAAGGTGAGCGGGAGGGAGAAAGAGGTGGTTGGGGGGGGGGGGGGGGGGGGAGGGAGAAAGAGGTGGTTGGGGGGGCAGCCTGTCACGGCGCGCGGCGCGCGTCTTACCAAAGTAGAAGTAGTAGTCGGTTTAGCCCTCCTCGGCCCCACGCCGAGATTTATGGCAAAAGTCCCCGGCGAGCGGGAATACAATAATCGCGTCCGGCCGAGCGGCCGGCGAGCGTCACAGAGAGACGCGGACCACCGGGGGGACCTGCGGGCGACCCGCGGGACGCTGGCGGGACGCGCCAGGAGAAATTAAATAATGAGATTACACGGCCGTGATGGCGCTGAGCCGACGTGAGCGGTGCGCTGGATCACCCGCGGCACTGGGCCCTGCCGCCGCGGGGGTCACCGCCGGGGACGACGGTGACGGAGTGCTCGGGAGGTCAGGGTCGGGGACAGAGTGTAAGAGACAGAATGTCAGGGACAGAATGTCAGGGACAGAATGTCAGGGACAGAATGTCAGGGGCAGAATGTCAGGGACAGAATGTCAGAGACAGAATGTCAGGGACAGAATGTCAGGGAAAGAATGTCAGGGACAGAATGTCAGGGACAGAATGTCAGGGACAGAATGTCAGGGACAGTTGTCGGGGACAGTTGTCAGGGACAGAATGTCAGGGACAGTTGTCGGGGACAGTTGTCGGGGACAGTTGTCGGGGACAGTTGTCGGGGACAGTTGTCGGAGACAGTTGTCGGGGACAGTTGTCGGGGACAGTTGTCGGGGACAGTTATCGGGGCCATAATGTCGGGGAACATAATGTTAGTGTACTGAGGACAGATCATATAGGGGTCGTCCCCTGACCGTCTAGAGGGCAGTATACTCCACATCCTATGCATCCTGTGAATACTGTGCAGCATTCAGCATTACACATACAATATGAGTACAGAGTCACATCAGGGTCGCTGTGGCGCGGGGCAGCCGCCCCCCCTGCTCGCTCTGCCCTAACCGCGCGGCGTCACGTCAAACAGCGCGGGGCGGCGCCCGGGAGAGTATGGCAATGACATGTAATGCCCGGGACGGGGCGGGCCCGGCCGGGCCAGGCGCGCCGCCCGTGACGCTACAATGGCGGCCGCATTACCCACCGGCTCTAATGACGCGCCGTCCAAATCAATCGGCGCGCACCTGTGCAGTAACGCCGCCGGCGTTACGCGCGCGTTACGGGGACGGCGTTAAGGATAATTGCAGCGCCATTCATGTTACAGCTTTCCCCCCGCTCCCTCTAGAGAGAGGGGGGCTGTAAACCTTTTATTTTTCCTTCCCTACATTTTATTTCCCGCCAACCCCAAACCCGCTCGGATGTCAAATTATGTGAAATTATGTGTCCCGCCCGGTATAACCCCATTATGCGCAATAGATGCTCTCTCGGCCGACTGTCGTGTGTGTCAGTCATGCTCAGCCTTCATATGTGGTTATGGGGAGGGGCATTAGTCTACAGGTCGCGCGCTGCTGTGGTCTTTTTGATGTGACGACGCCACACAGCGGACACGCCCGGCCCCGCCTCCATTTGCCAACGCAACGCCGCAACGCCCCTGATGGCCTTTCAAATTGTTTTACCCCCTCCGACTGGCGAGCGCACCCGGACCAGCACAGCAAACCTCCCTCCAACTCTCTCGCCCTCCCTTCCCCTCTTTTTCAAACGCGCGCACACATACATACGAGTTTTCGGTCCATCTATATGTTATTTTCGACAAGGATGCAATGGGTAAGCCCGTAAGGGAAGGGAACTCAGACTCAGGTCTATATCTTCATCAATGGAAAAATAGGAATTTTGTTCATAAATATGAATTTTTTCAGTAAGTAAGTAACGAAGCGTCAAAAATTGTCCAAACGAATAACTAAAGTTACCAAATCTGCTGGTACATATTCGAACCAACGAAACCCCATGGGGGCATGCATGTTCTCGTCTCACTACCCCATTTTTAAGTTAACTCATAAATTCATGGACAAAACGGACAAATAAATACGACAATTTCACAGTGAACCTCGTTCGCGTCATTCGGTTTGAGAACGACCCCCAAACGAACTCCACCCAATCAGACACTGTCTTCCCTTTCTCTTGTTATAATCAGAGGGGCGCCTAAAAGTTGAACAGCGACGGCCTTTCTTGTCCCACTCGCTCTCGCAGAGATGAAGGACCCCTTCCAGCCCGCTTTTGCTCTCGCTCTCTCTCTCTCTTTCCCTCCTACCATTGCCGCCACACCGGCCCGCCTCCCGAGCCACCCCTTGAATCTCGATAATAGAGAGCACTTTACGCATCATTCTGTGACCTTGAACCCCTTGTCTCCTCTGAGCGCGCCCGGGCCGGGGCGTTGCGGAGGTGTCACATAATACTACGCGTTCATAGTGCCTCACCGACGCCTCCGCTCCGCCTCCCCCATTTCTCTCCCTTACTGCTGCTCTAACCCATTTCTTGTCATCCCTCCTCCTGTCTGTAGCCTCCGCTTGTGATATGCCTCCGTCGCGCTTTCCAAGAGGTAACTTGGCGCGATGATTGGAACTGGCAGAGCTCGCTTGTTTAAAATAAAAAGCCATTTCGCACTGTATTTCGCAATAGCTTCAAAAGCCCACGCACAGTGCCCGACAAGTTGCACATCGTCCGCAGGAGTGTAGGTCAACGACCCTCCTGGTCCGGGATCCTCCCCATCCGGAGCCCGATGGGTTGCCTACCCTCCCGGGGTTTTGGTCACAAACCTATGGGAGCGGGACCCTCTTGCTTACTACTTCGACTGCCTTTCACCTCGCCATGTATAACCGAAAGTGCAAGGGCGGCAATAAGGTGCTGCCAAAAAGTTATTCATGCTACTTTTTACTTTTTGCAGCTCTAGTTTACACTCTTTGCGGCGGCGCGCGCAAACTTTTTGAATTGACTTACGAAGAGAGGCGTTGGCGCGCGGCGCGGCGCTGCGCTGAGGTGTTTGATGTGGCACGCAACGCCGTGCCCCTCCTCCAAAGTTCGCCGCGCGAACAACTTTTCGACACGCATCAAAGTAGTTGTCACGGCGGCGGTGGGGCCGGTGCACCGGCCCAGTGAACTACTTGTGTGCTGCCGTTGCCTGCGGCAAAGGAGCAGGGGGGCAGAGAGAGGAGACAGAGGAAACTAATCAGTTTAAAGAAATTGAGGGTCAGCCTATGATTTCCACTATTTCCTATAAAGATTGAGATTATGCCTTAAAGTTCGGATTGGCTGTGCACAATCCCAAGTGCACTTCCACTGCTAAAATGACATCCTCCCCATTCTCTCCCTTCGTTAATTGTACTTCGCCGACCACATTGTGATGGAAATATGCACCGCAGCCACTCCAGAAAATAACCAAAGTTGTAGTGACATGTGATTCAATCGACTGTGGACACGAAGTGCGACGGAGCGGAGAGCAGAGCAGTGTGCGCGCTAAGTAATGAATCTGATAAAATAGCTAGAGTCTAGCTATTTTAACTGCAAATATTTTTAAAATTTCTAGTAGTGGCTAAACAGATTCTAAAAATCTGCGCGTATTAATTGTTTGCTAGA